TTGCTTCATCTAACGTCCTTAATTGGGTTTTCAATCAGGATGTCGTCAAAGCCACGCGGCTAGCAATGGCATATCGGGAGAAATTCCGGAAAGATGTTTTCATTAATATGGTTTGCTATCGTCGATGGGGACATAATGAGTTGGATGATCCATCCTTCACGCAGCCGATTATGTATAGGGTTGGTGTGAAGCTTGTGATAAGCTGTTTACTGTAACTTCCACCTGAGCGAAGGATACTTGGTCGAAGTGGCTGTTCAGATGAGATGTATACCACACTAAGCCTTATTCCGAACTGTGATTTTGAATCTGAATTCCACATCTGCTAAACGATTCTGAGAACAAAGATACGAAAGGGTTTTCCCTGTGTGATATGCCACTTGTCGAACCGATAATCGAACCAAGCTGTTAATCCGTTGCTTTGGTTCACTTGGAGGGTGATGGGCCTATAGAGCGACATTATATCTCGAGTCCTTGATGAATGTGTTTACTTTGCCTTTTCATGGAATGTGTCTTGAACGTTTTTGCGCTTTAAATTGACTAACTGGGGAAATCCATCACATTAAGGAGCACTGAAAATACAGCGAGAAAAAATTTCTTGCGTTTCACTCTTCGTCTCAGATAAGGGTGCAGCTCATTCTGAGCTGAATACGAATAGTGAAACTTTGGCTCAAACTGACTTTGGAAGCTTTGGAAGTGTTATGAATTCATCAGATCAAAACGCTCAATATGTTACAAACGAAATGTTGGGTCAAGGTGGTCAAGGTTGTTAGATGACTTTGGTTTCTGCGATATAACGTGAGCACCATTTAGAAAGGAATGGAAGGTAGCAAAGCTTCTCTTGCATACCTTGTGATATACTATGCAAATGACCTCGTCTTGTACTGTAAGGAAGATGGGTCCATGATAAACGTTCACAAATTGAAAGCGTGACTGCTAAATTCGATAATCTCCTCAATGCAGTGGTATAATGCAGCAAAAAAGAGTTCCTATCTGTTTTCTCGTAGCCGTTGAGCATGTTTTGGAACGTAGTTTTCAGACTAGAGCTCGAAAACACCTTTAACGGCTTACATCTCATCTTGAGTGTCCACTCTGACCTGACATTTCTTCCGAAAAAGGATTTCGTACCATATTTAGTGACGTTATCTATCTCAAAGACTCCCACACTAAGCACTTAGCCTAGAAATTTCCAAGCTTCAGGTAATAGAGAGTCGTGAATCGGTGCCGAGACAGTATGCTGACGAGTTAATAAACCAAGGCTTGCTCACAGAAGATGAAGTCAAGCAAGAGAAGGATGTGCACACTGCCAAACTTATGGAGTCATTCAAAGCTACTGATTCGGCCCCACCTGTGTGAGTTTCCGAAGAAGTTAGAAAGAAAAAACAGTGTGGAATCGAAGGCACAGTTCACGTCGGAAACGGCTTCTGAGATTTCTCACCTCAATGAACCTCTGATCCCAAAGATGGATTGGGGGACGCTGTCGAAAAGAGGCTAAGGTAGGGAGTAATAAGGGGTCCGAAATTAGCTTAGCCGGCCTGAACACCTGCAAACGAGTAAACTGCCCGGAACATTTGGCATCTCCTCCAAATACTCATTCCGCGCAACTTCTTCGTTAGATCCTGGTCCGACCCCGATTTTGCCTCTTTTTTTGAAAACCTAGATTACTCCAAACACGCCGATTTATGCGTCTTATTCTCCACTTTTGCGCTGTTTTGGACTATCACTTCCTTTAGTCTAAAATCAGATATCAGATATAACTTATAGTGAACTGTTCGCTAGTTCTATGATAACGCAGAGGAAAGTTTGTATATTGCTAAGAGGTGGAAGCTAAAGAATTTGGGCTGGAAGAAGTGTAGTCCTCGGATTGGACCGTGAAGTGGGTTTTCTGTTGAAAATTAAAGGTAGTGTGCTCCATATGAAAAAAGATGAGAAAAGTGACGAATCGCAGATCAAAGATCTGACGAAATATGAAGTTATAAAGGTGAGGCTTCTGAGAACTACTGACGACGATTTAGGAACTGTTTTTGAAGTAAAACGTGCATCAAGTATGTACTATTGATGGCAGGAAGAAGTGAGTGGTGAAGGAAATCGTCGAACGTTGAAAAGAAGGTTGGCGAGCTCACACACTGTGCAAAGCTTCTTACTCTTTTGCTACATTCATAGCGCTGAAGTGAATGGGTAGAAGTGGACTGCTTAGAAGATTTCGGAATGAAGCTTTGTCTGCTGTTAGATAGCATAAATAGTGCTGGTGATCCTCTGTTTGTTACCAAAGCATCCAATATGATCGTAATTCTAATCATAAAAACTTTTTCTGTCAAACACACCAATACATTCAAGAAAATTGAGTTGTTTGACGCTGATTGTGATCTTTTCATGCATCCCAGTTGCGTTTGCTAGGAACGTTGCTATTTCGAAATTATGAATTGCGCTCATTCTTTTTTGAAGAATTTTCATCACAGGTTCGACCATTTTTTTTAACATTATTCTTCTTCTCCCTAGCGTTAATCCCGCGCCGTCGCAGAGTCCCCTATTGTTGTCAGTCGTTTCCATTTCCTTCAATCTACGACATTTTTTGCTAATAATTTAGCTTTGGTGCTTCTTGATCACGCCCCTCCGCCTATTCTTTACAGCTCTTCGTGATCGCTTCCCTCGAACTCCATTGCCTGCTTTACTAGAAGATTCGGTGGTCTTGTTAGTTCGTATTATCGTGAACGCTGCTCATCTTCAGCCGGACAGAGCACTTGCACGAACGCTTGACCTCTTCATTTCTAATCCGGTCGCGTCCAACCGCACGCCCATATGATCACATTTTTCGGCCAAGTGAAGCTGTCTTTTGTATTTTCTAGTCACTGGCCAGCATTCGCTGCCATAGATTATCGTGGGCTTTACCAATGTGCTGTACACCTTTGAGCATCTTGGAGCACCGTCGATACCAGTAGACTCTCCACTCGCGCAGCTTTTCCGGCTCTTGCAGCTTGATCCACGCCACCATCAGTGGTTAGATCACTTTACAGGTATCGGAAGTTCTGTACTCATTCAATGGCTTCCCCAAACCCGTTTACGATTAACTTAAAACCCTCCTCTAAGCTGGTGAACTTAGCCTTCTTAACGTTCAGCCGAGGCCCATTCTACGCCAGCACTTTCTGTCAATGTCATCAGCGTAGGTGATGGTCTTTAGTGGTGTATCGGGGAGTCGGCTTGTGACGAGATCCAGTGTGAACAGAAAGAAGAATGGGCTTAGAGTTGAATTCTGGTGTAGACCAACCGTGACTTCCACTCCCTCGGTCAGGCCGCGTGGAGGGCGTATTGCTATCGAGCACCCATAGTACATGCCTTTGACCAGAGGATCAGGTGTTGTTTCTGGAGCGTTTTGTTACCAGAGCGCTCTTCAGAGGAACCGCCGCGAAAGACGATCGAAATGCTTCTTCAGGTAGACTAAGGCGAGGTAGTGGGGTCTCCGTTTTTCTCATACTTCTCCATCACTTTTCTATGAATGTAGCATCTGTTGTAGTCCTTTCTGGCATGAAGCCGAAGAGCTGCTGTGGGCTTTGGGCGAGTTCCCTCCATTTCGGGTAGATTAATCTACAGTTTCATCGCGTGAGTGACCCGCCTGATCCCTCTATAATTGGAACAGTCCATCAAAATTTGCCGCACCACATATGGCTGATCTTAAAGTGGCGCGGAAACTATGATTTGCTAACTAATCCGAGAATTCATAGTGATGTGAACATATGAGCAAATTCGAAGAGAGGCATTACTCAACTAGAACCAGAATTGGCTAATTCGCAAGCTGAAGGTCACTTACGTCAGGTGTAACCAACCAGTTTCTTTGAACCTATTTTTTCCAAAAAGTCAAGCTCTTCTCCCTACGGCTCTACAATAGATTTGAAATTATAGATCTCCGCATTTGTTTAGAGCGAAGCTACTGGAAGGCAACTGGAAAGGCTTCGTGCAGGCTCCACCTTACATACAGAAGTGGGACACCGGTTGTGACACGAATCTGCTGAAATACATCGGAGCTGCCTCAGTCAAAGTACCGGAAGGTTTTGTGAGTCACTCATTTCACTTAATTAATCAGTGATATGCGAAAACGTACTAGTCTTTTCCACTGGGGGTCCTTTTTCTAGCCAGTTAATGATGAGGCTACGTTATTTGCTTAAAAACACAGGTGGAATCAGAAACATGGATTTCCACTTTCTGCTCTGTCGAATATGTACCTTCTTGTCCCGCAAGTGTATCGAAGTATACCTTTGCAGAGAGTTTACAGGCGCAGTTGGTATCCTGCCCATCGGCTCAGTCAAAAGCTTGCATACGAGTGACTGGGAGTATCGAGGAGCAATTCGTATTCCCTTTTCAATTCCCTTTTCATAACTGAAGCACCTCGTCCACTCTGAAATGGCCTTGCTTGCTGCCAAGAATCAACCCAGTTTCCAGATTAGAACCCGCAAGCTATTCGTAGGTATCCAATGCCAAACATAGTTATGTAATGGTGCTGGTTATCCTAAATCTGAGGGAGCCACCGATACGGCAGCGTTTTGAAGGAACGCTCGGGAGAGCCTGTTAAAAATTCAGAGCCAAAACAAGCTGCCTTAAAGGAGGACTAAGATGGCGTTCCGTACTTCCACTTCACGAACGCCTGCTTCGTAAGCGTGTATTCAAGATCTGATAATGCAAGATGGGAAGATCAAGAATGACATCATGGAAGTGACCGAGGCGAGAAGGCGTCGCCTACTGCACGTCGTTTTCAAAACTAGCGTTGAATCATGTTCTTAGGAACATTCCACAACTTTTTTTCAAGATGATCGCCGTTGATTTCAACGCCAAAACTGGTCTTATAAGAACGGCTCGAGAGCTACGTACCTAGCGGGACTTACGGAATGGAGCGGAGTGAGCAAGGTTAAGTACTGCCCGAGTTTATCATGTCGACCCCCACTATCCATAGTAACTCGTAGCTCTAGAAGCTCTTTCATTTGAGATAGACCTGGGAGTTACGCCTGGTGGACAGTGCGATGAAACGATCACATCAATTTCAATGAAAAGTTTTGCCTGACTGACGCCGCCGTTGTTCTAAAGTTCTATGTGAGATCGGAAAAAGTTTTCGAGAGAATTTATCGACAACATCGTTGAGGAATATACGTGGTCTGTCGATATTCTTCGTGACAATGCTATGAAGCAGAGAGTCTATATGTTGCAAAAAATCGGATCTCTGCAAAGCCTTCCAAGCTAATACGTCGATGTGGAATGCTAGCGATCAAGCGATCACCTGCAAACGGCTAAACTTGCGGAGCAATGCAGAGAAGCGACAAAGGTAGATATGAAAGAGAGGAGCACAAGTTATTGGGGAAGCGCCGAGGCTGAGAAGAGCATTCGCGANGCCCGCCGCAGCTTTGCCCATTATGAGGCAAGATGAATTCTCTTGTCGTTCTGATGAAACACTTACTGCATCTCAAAAGGCAATGGAGAGGTCTTCCAAAAATTCTACTTAGATCTCTTCGACAGCCACATTACTTGCCTACCTACCATCTTACTCAAGTCGGATCTGTCGCTCTTCAAAGAAGAACTGTTGGCCATCCGGTCCCGTATCAAAGCAGAACATCTGGAGAGCCTTCCACTTGAAGAGCCTACTTGCCTGCTACTTGTCGTGTACAAACTTTACGTAAGGATCGCCCTCAACAGGAGGAACAGGACAGCCATGCAAGCAACCATGGCCTTGGCGAGTTACAGTACTATCGGCCACGTCCACACTGTTTCAAGACTCACTGAAGTATAGCGAGAATACAGGATGCCGTTACGTCACTTACAGCGACTTGAAACTACTTACATCATCTCCGCTGTGCAAACGACATCGTGCTTATAACACCGAATATCGAGCAGGTGGAATGAATGCTGGCCGAATCTGACTGTGCTTACGGAAAGAGTGAGCTTACCGAAGACGGTGTTCTTGGGAAGCGAATTGGTACCTAATGCGCCCTTCACGCTGAACAGAACAAATCTCTGAATGCTCTATCTACGGGTATCTAGGTCAAGAAGAAAACATGATGGACATCCTAGTACTGGAGCTGATCAGAAGGGAACGCGCGGCGTGGGGAACATTTAAGAATTTGGAGTCCCGTGCAAAGTCAACGACCGAATATCAGGGATGCCGTTTCCTTCGCCAAGAAATCGAAGATCTGGCGGGACGGACACCTTGTGCGGTACCGTGGTGACCGCTGGACCAGGGCGGTACTGACTGGTTCCTTCGGGATGTCAAACAAACCTCAGGACTGCCGCCAGCGCAATGGCCAGGCTTCTTCACGAAGGCTCTGATCTGCCTCGTGGAAGGGACGAAGGGAGACGTTACTGGCGTCCTCAAGAAAACGATAATCAACAGAACGACAGGTGATACACCTGATTCAACATCGACCACATTACATCACATTTTCCAAAAAAAAATTCGCTTCGAATTTAGTCGTTTTGTGAAGTTCAGTGTCCAAATATGAAGTAGTCTATGAAATTTATGGAGAAGGACTTGTGGCAGAAAGACGAATCGCGAGTCCTATCGCGGAGTGTGATGACAACCCTCCCGACATTTAAATGCACTTATCTGTTTGCTGCCAGACAACCATTTTTTAATATCAGCGAGTTAAGTAGAGTAATCATGCAACATTTCAGAATGTACATCCTCATCTCCAGAAAACTCATTGTGAAGCTCGGATCCAGAAAATGATCTCTGGGGAAGGTATCGACTGGGGTACTGCCGAGGTTTGTGAATAGTGCATATGATGTACTTCTTTCTCGCAAAACTCCATATTTGTTGAAAGAAACAAGATAAGAAAAGTGTAGACAGGACTTGCGCGCTCTTGTAATGAATCATATTTGCCCANATCCTTTTCTATAAATGCATTTCTGCTCAAGATACGTGCTCATTGTTGAATACGCATCCCGCAATAATGGTTTTTTGCATTAGGGGTGAAGCATAGCCAGTCATACTTCCATGTTTGTATCAGAATGGAATAGCACTTTGACATTTTGTCAAGTTGTATGGGTGAACTACGTTTTTGGCATATATTTTAACTTTATCTAGTTATTTGTTAGATCGAAAATTGTACCTCTGTTGAATGAGATGTTTCCCTAACGTGAAGTTTCTCATTTAAGTCACTGGCTTTTGGGTCGCTAATGTTAGAAGGAAACGACGTTCGTATCAGTGGTCAAGATGTTGGTCGAGCAACTTTCAGCTTTCGGTGGGTGTCTCGGTCGCTATTTGTGTGTAACGATCATTCTTTATCGGCGATAAAGAACCAATCTCTAGCCAAGGGAAGGTAACGTTTTGCCTAAAAGAATTGCGAGCAGAGGGTCATGTACATCAGTGACGTTCGAACTGCTGTCTACTTCTTCTTATCCATAGCCTTGTTCACACCACGCGTCGCAGGAACAGCTCATTTTGTTGGTTGCCCCCACTTCCCCTTTTAGAGCACCTTCTGCTGTTTTTTTTTTTATCATGTCTCGCTACTTATTTGGGGTTCCTCATGATCGCTTATTTTGAGCTTAAAATTCCATGACTTTCCTACTGGGTGGTAAGGGGGTCTTCGCACTACGCGCCCATGTCATCACAATCCCTGCTCTTCATCTTCAGGTGAGCAGGGGCTGCTTGCGCACCTAGTACCTGGTTCAGCTGCAAGCCGATTTCCACTCGAACAAACTGCTCTCTTTTTCAATAAACGCCTTTACCATATCTTGTGGCTTTTAGGCTATCGAACGCCCGAGTCTGCTATTACTTGTACTATTCACACTTGTTCAAGACTGAGCAGCTCTATTGTAAAAATCCTTTTTATTTTCAAAGATACGCACACACTGAATCCCTATGAGACTGATAAATGCGAAAATTCGAAACTGTGATGAGGTAATCCCTAGGGAAGTGCGAACCTTCAATCTCCCACCTTCTGCTGCCTTTTTACAAAAAAGCGGTCGCGTTCGTCGCGAAACTGGACAGACACTCATTAGAACTTGCAAACGTACTTGAGATTTCCTCAATATACATATGTACTCGTATCAAAGGCATTTCTGAAGACTTGTAAAACAAGGAGTTAAGAAGTAGTGCGGTTGTGGTCTCCAAGTAGCAGGAGGAGGGTTCCCACGCCAAAAGCACCACCATTTTCCACCTCGGAACAAAAAACCAAGTCGCAAGCTTTCGGAAACGAATTGTCATGGATTAAGTGGCCTTCAAGGAGGAGAGCGCGGCATGGATAGAGAAGTGCAAGTGGTTTCGTGTGGTTATATTTGGAATTTGGAATTAGAAGAACCCGATCTGTTACTCCTTATCCTGAATAATCATCCACTGAGGATTTGTTTCCCTTTACCTGTCTAATGGCACAGTTGCTTTCAATGTATAACCTCCGTGAGAAATCAGTAACTGCTGCAGTTCACTTTCCGCTTGGCTTACGTAATGTTGCCCACTTCAATTTCCTTGAGTCGCTGAGAGTTCTCTGAAGCGCAGCGAAACATTAAGATGCGGGAATACATCACGTTAGTTGATTTGCAGAATATTTGAGACTTCACTGAGTAAGAAGTGGTGGTTCGAAGAGAGAGCAATCAGAGTTATCCCAATTACGTAACAGGTCTTTTTTTGAGTTCTACGGAATCTGAGTACCAGAACTTCACCATTTCTGCAGAGATCATCATTGACGCGAAAAGCAGACTCGATGAGGTGATTCTACCACTCTTAGTAAACGAGCGCTTCCAAAATACAGCGACTAGCGTTGAGCGCGGAGCGTCAAAGCCGAGCAAGTGCCTGCACCACCGCTGGGGTAACGGAACTTCTCCCCTATCGCGGCATTCTTCCTTGCGGCATGCGGCAAATGTCACTGCAATTACGGTACTCACTCGCCTTCCCGCCAATCGATGGACTCGATATTTTTCGTTGATTGCCTTGCTTTTTTATTGGATTTGATCGTTTTTTCTTCTGTTTCTTCTTCGTTTTCATGTTTATTAGACTTGATTAATTGAAATGACTCCTCCTATGAAAGCGGCGATCAGGACTGCATTGAAATTGAAGAAAGCGGTCAGCCAATTCAAATAATTAAAGGACTCCATACCTCACAAATTGCGCGCTCCAAACTTCCATCGCAATCCTGCGGTACGCGGCGGGTGCGGCGAGTGCGACGCCGTGTCAAGGGAGAAGTTCCCGGACCCCCACCGCTGGGATCGGTGTTTGCTTTGGAGCATGTTATCTTCCAAGCTGAGCGCCGCATAGCTTTTCCATGATGTTGTACTTTCGTCACATTATACCATTGTAGTCAAAGAAGCGTAATCAAACCTATATATAACAAAAAAAAAAGAAGAAAGAAATAAGCGCAACCAGTAAAAACTCAATCGATAATTAATCCGCCGCTGACCCAAGCGATATAGATCAACCACCGGTTTTGTTAACAATGTTCGACGCTGAGCCGTCCTCGCTCAGCGCCCAACGCCCTACTCTGAGAGATGCCATTCAGCGTTCCAGAAATTAACGCTCCATTTTTGCATTTTACTTATATCCACAGCTGTTGTGGTCCCGTCAGGTCTTAAATTACCCAGCTTATTAACTGTTCATTGCGGAGACCGCGCTTCTCATCTGCGCTGGATAAAACATTGTTTACAACTTTTTTTCGAACTGTTAATTAAAAGAATTATAAGCCTTCAGACATGCAATGCTCGTGGACAATAAGTCTGATCTGACTCACATACCTCTCAATTTCATTTCCGATGACCAGAAAGGATATCTTGAGGTAAGCTGCTTTCTGTTCTAGTAAAGTCTCTTTGAAAAAGAACGCGGTTATAAGAATGACTCGTTCATATGGGTAGTCTAGCGGAACTGCCCGATATGCACCGCTAGGTTGGGGCAGGTGTGGTTGCATGGACGAGGTACTTCCGCTGTCAAGCCGATATGGGATAGAATTGATCTCAAGAAACGAGCACACGACCACACGATCACGTCTCTTATCAGTAGGGATGCTTCCAAGTAGTAAACAAACTGAGACCTCAGACTATCAGAAAAAACATGGGGCAGTAAAATATGTATCTAACTCATGATTGTGGAATCTACGTCGAATGTTCACGGTTTTTGATCAAGTGTCTCGTAATTTCACCATATTGTCGTGTGACACAAACCCACTGGAAAATTCAGGTAGCGAATAACCTCTTGTCGGAGGAAGCTATTCTCGGTTATGAATTTGGCTTCTCTCTCGATCATCCACGGCGGTTGTGCATATGGGAAGCTCAGTTTGGTGATTTCTTCAATGGCGCCCAAATTATCATTGATACATTCCTGGCCAGTGCTGAAGGTGAGGTTCTGCAACGAAGAAGTCAAGATACTTATGAACCCGTCATCAATGCGATACGGTTTCAGTCTATTTTGGCCGCATGATTTACACAACGATTTCCAGGCAAATGGTTGACTCAATCTGGTCTGACTTTGCTTTTACCTCACGGAATCGATGGAGCCGGACCCGAACACAGCACGTGTCGAATGGAGAGGTAGGTGTATGCAGTTTCTTTTGATTCTACCGTTGCGGTTTCCGTTGTTGCTTATAAATCGGGCTGGGCTAAAGTTATGAGGAGAGAACTGAGAACAGATGAGAACTTGTCGAATGCTGTTATTTCGCCGCAGTATGCGATGTGAGGGTTTCACAAAGGTGGCCTGTGGTGGGCAAAACTTCATTCTCATACGGGACTTAAACCCGTACAGAAGACGAGCAGTCGATATAATGTCAATAAAGCAAACCAACTTCGAACAAAATGTTTATCACGAAATTCTCATTGCACAAGTATAATACTTTACAACTGAAATATGTTGCCCTCTACTTTCACTCAAGCCCGGAGATGACGAGAAACGGCGTAGGCAGGTAGAAGGCGTCGAGTTTAGTGCAGCCTTTTTGCAATGAATTTCGGCCAATATCCAGGTTCTTGTGTGCTCTTACTCAAGTTTTCGTTTCCATTGTGACACTGTGAAAAATTCGGATCATCCAGGTCAGAGCTGCTGGCCCCTCAGTGAAGGCTATGAAGACGGCGAAAAATCTACTTACGCCCACGGCAACACCTGGCTTTTCAGGAACCTCTAGTGGGCCTGATTAACCTTTCTACAAAGTTGGCGGCGTCTTTCCGTTGACAACCGAAACCATCACAGAAAGCAGTGGAGGACTGCGCCATATCACTTTCTTGGGTTTCGACTTCGCATAAATCCTGGCACCACTATATTCTTGTTGAGTACCTGTTCGAACACTTCACATCTTCATTTTGGTATGACCACTTCTCCTGAAACGGCTGTTTTGTGCGTCCTTTCCCTTCTCTATAGCTTGTACACTCAGAAAATGACTCTGTGATCATTCATGACTTTGTTATGCAAGTAGTCTTTCACGATTCTGTCCAGCGAACCTCTTGAGAAACCCATTTCTTCAGCCATTCTGCGCACAGAACGAGCTCCAGTGCAGCCTCGTTCCCGCTTCCTGAACATTGGACTACTTGCTTCCATTCTTTCGATCTGCTGTTTCCCTAACTCTCCAAAGCGTCTGATGGTCGAACAAGCCGGCTGCTTCTCTATATCGAGTCGTCTGGAGAGGTCTCATGTCAAAACTCCATCTCGATGTGATTGATTCTCGATGTAGCCAATGTTTCCCAAATCTACCAGAAGTTCAGAGTTTTTAGAAGAAAATGATGTAATCCACCTCATAACATGCAAAAAACAAAACAACTGAAATTTGAATGCTAGAAAAATCATGGCTTTCGTGTCATTAAAATTATGGCCTATCTGTGCACACGTGAAGTATTTAGATTCTTGCAACTATGTGATTCCCGTGAAGATCAAGTGCCGGTTGATGGTGAAAATGTGAATATGCGGGTGGCTAACCCCACGACGTCAGCACAGTACTTCCATCTTCTTCGGAGGCAGGTAGGACAGCGTCCCTTCTTATCGTATATATTTTGAGCAACCCGATGATGAGTTATGCCAACGTTTACTAACCTCTGGAGAATCGCTTACGACTAGAACAAGGTGCATTTACTCGGGTTGCATCAATACTAGTCACGGGGTTTTTTCAGCGTATGTTCTATCTCATTTTCGATTCCAGTTCTGTTGGTGCTTTTGTTCAATATCATGAATAGTGGAGTGGTATAGTTGGAACAAGTTTTCCATAATACTTTTCAGATTTATCACTATAAATTAGAAACTGACCAGGCATCCCGTTAGTGCCCAATCATTTCACCGGCGCCGAGTTTGAGCATTGAAAGAAACGGTCACATAATTCGAACGATTTTACCTACCCTTTGGTGAATGTCGCTTGATAGTAGACGGAGAGAGTATTCGAAAAAACTCATGTGAAAAATTTTCCCAGGTCTTCTATGTTTAATTGACCATTCCAGCGTCTCAGACGTGCTCACCCGCCTAAGCAATTCGTGGAGAAAAGTAAAGAAAAAACTGAATCAAGTAGAAATTGCTCCCGAACCAAATAAACTCAATTATAATTGTGAGGGATAAGCTCTTTGGCGTTGTCCAGTCCCGCATTTGACACAGACGCTCGCGTTCCACTACTTCTCACAATCAGAGCCGTCCCGATTTTGAATTCGGGTGTGAACTACATGGTGATTTGCGGTGGACGCCTATCTCCCAGGACTGTGTTTTTGTGCTCGTAAACGAGTTCGGCACCAATCAACCGACCCCGAGAGAAGAAGGCTTAATTTACCTAGGCGAAACCGATCAAAGAGTTGAACCCTGGCCGTTGAGTGGTTGACAGGGCACCACTTGCCACTGCACAACCTCCGACAGTGTAGTAGGAATAGTGTTGGGTGAAAAAGAAAGAGTCGTTGAATGTCAAAGTTGTTGTCTTTCATACACCTCAACGAACCCTTTCCCCATGGATGTTCAGGCCATGCAAGGTGGACATTTGTGCAGCCGGGACTGTTGAATGTTATGGTTGCATACGGCAGCTATACAAATGAAACATCATGTTGGACTCTGTTCTTGGACAGGGTATATGTTTGCGGTGTTGAGATTATGGAGAGATTGAGAGGAAATAGTGAAAGAGGGGAACCGCTACCACTTCGTTTTGCTTAGAACGCCGCTGCAACTAGTAATGTTGCGGCCACCCGCACCTTCCTTGGGTAGGGTTCTGTTGAAATCTCTTCATCAATGCAACATCTGTTCTTTAACCCTTGGCTTGTTTGCAGCTCCAACAGCACGATCTGACAAGTGACGCATTTTTCACATCATGGTCTAAACAGCGCTTTTTCTGGGGTGCAAAACAGTAGCGAGAAAGAACAAAGGTTGTTATGGATGCTTCGCATCTAATTTCACGTCTCGTCTTTTTCTGCATTGATAGCTTCAATGAAATCAGACAATAATGTGTCATGAGCCACGAGGTACTTCACCAGACTTTCGATTTCAGAAGCCTGGGACACTGGCGGCTGCGAGTCGGAGAAGCGCGTAATCCCACCTTCCAGTTTGGTCTGAACAATGTAGTCATATCTTCTCTCGTAGATGCGAATTCATTGCTCGAAACAGTTCATACTAGGGCGAAACCCACTCCTGAGAGTAAAGGGATCTATACATAGAACTTCCCAACCAAGTACACCAATATTGTGGTGTGGTGTGCAGACTTCGCCTTATAAGACCAGGCGTCAGCGTGAGTTAGAGAAACGCTGTCGGCTCTTTTGATGGTGCTTTGTCAGCCAGGAGTCATGTTTTCTCTTGTGTGTAGTTAACATACTGCACCCAGCGCTCATTTTCTCTGACAGTTTAACTGAGAGAGTCCCTCGTGCGCAGATGGACACACAATGACTGACATATACACTCTTTTATGGCCATTTGAGGTGCATCAAATCGTGGCGATCAAAGTCATCATCTTTTTTCTGTAACCTGCTTGGAGATGGGTTATGATTGTTGTGCGACTAAGTGTCGTCAACAATTCAAGTGTAGTGGCATTGCTTTGTTTCTGTGAGCATTAGGAGGGCATCATCGTGCCAATCAGTTCGGCGACCAGGCTTGGCTGGTCCTCATCTACCTAAAGACTTGGGAAGTTGAAACAAATGGTTTATAGTCCAAAGAATCCCTACCTAGATTCTCCCTGCGTAGCACAAAAACATGGCATCTGCTGCATTGTTACCTTGCAAGGAATTTCATAGTAAACGATTGTACGAATTTGAAATTTTTCATCGAAGTCGTGGCGACGACCACTGAAATTCACGCATTTGTATGCCTACCCCTACGAAAAATTTTTTAAGGATTCCAGCATATTTTACTGATGAACAATTCTGTTTCAACGTTACATGAGATTCTGGGTCAAGAAATATATTTTGGTGTAATAGTTCTGGATCAGTCTAAACAAAGCGAGTTAACGAATTCTGATGGTGCCATTCTCAACCTCATGATCACGATTAAACGTATAAGATTATCTTTAGATTCTGTGCTTCACTATTTTGTAGGAGTCGTTCAGGATAGGAACGGGGAGCTTACTTCTGCCTGTTATTGTACTCGGCAATTCGAGTAGGTTGTTTTCGGAACGAGTCTGTCGTGTTCTACAAGAAGTAGGCTATGAGCAGACAACTGAGCTCTGCTTTTATTTCTTTCTGGATACAGGTGAAACTAGGGACAGATGGGAAAAGCGACGGCTTTCTATTATGCGTGGAGTTTAAGCGCTTTGTGCATTATTGAATTCATTTTCCTGTCGCTGTTCATTTACTCCTCCGGTATACGCGTTGAACAAATAGGTGAAAGCAAATGCATGAAGCGCACTCAGGAAATACAAAAGAAAAAGAAAATTGACGTACGAATAAGTGTATCACTCAATTTGAGGAATTGAAAGAACCTATGAGATCCCTCAGAACAAGCTCGCTGAATACTTTCCAAATTTGAGTTTTCGAATCTATTATGAACTATTACTTGGATCCAGTGAACCTCAAAACTGATGCTGATCGAGATTACTTTGTTAGCTTCCCGTTATTGAAGACATCGGCGAGGAAGAAATAGACTGGGTGAGACTCGTAACATTATACAGAAAGGAAAGATCTACAAAGCATAGAA